AAGGTTATAATTCAATCCCCAGTGGGGTTATGGATCCTTACTACTAAGGAGTATCATGGAAGGACGAAATAACTATTCAGTGAATCCTACTTTTCAATATTTATCTAACTTAGGTTGGATTGTGATCTCAATAACATTCAAAAGTCTCCATCAACCCTCTTTACTCATTTTAACTTCATTTAGTTATTTGTTATACGGTTCTGGTGTGTTTAAATCAACTTCTCACTAATTTTATTACATATTATATTTTATAATTAATTTCGGAATTAAAATGCTATAAATCGTAAACGATTGGTAGGAATTTAGCGAAAACAAATGAATTTATCTTATTTTACTCAAATCTTATCTCTTTTGAAGGCTTCACTCGGTCAAGACCGATGTAGAACTTAAATATTTTCTGTCCTAAGTTCCATGTTAGCACGACGATATGAATGTAAAGGGGTGCACATTGAAGAAATTGAAATGATGTCGGGGAAATGATAATGAGAGATACTAAACATTGAGAATACAATTCGTAAAGATAGAGTTAAAAGGTATACATGAAGGACTACGGCAACTTAAGATAAAGAAGAAGACGAAAAGTGAATGTGTGATGACAGACATAAGTTGTGTGTAACTCCGATCAGAAATGAAATGCTTGGCAGTAAAAGGTTGAGAAGATTAAACTGAAGAAAACAGAAAAAGAAACACGAAGGAATTGACAATTGCAAGAATCATGAAGGATGTAAAGGACAATTTATAATTTTTGTAAATAAAGTATTTAATATATGGTTTTTACATTTTATGAAAGAACTCTGCAATTTTGTGTAAAACAATAACTTGGTTTACCCCACCTGAGTTCACTTTCTCTACGAATGCATTTACCCCATTCTGGCTGATTCTGAGTTCTGTCACCCAAAGTCTCTAATCCCTGGTAGCGGTTATCATGTGAGACTCAACCACGTAGTTTGCATGTATTTGTGCTGCTCATACCTACAGTAAATGACTTCTTGATTCGGTCACTCTTAATTTTTTTTCATTTCAATCCTACATTAACTAACATCACTCATCAATGTTTCAAAAGCCTAAGATATGAATATTAGTGGATATATGCTTCAATCTATTTTGTATTTGGTGATTTGAAAAAGTTATAGGCAATCCATTTTGAAAATAAGTCCAGATTAATCATATTTATACTCTTTGGTTTTGGGTTATCATAACTAGAGTGTTAATAGGACAATGACACCTAACACTGATCTTTCAATCTAATTAAGATGTGGCCTATGTTAATATCCAGAGCAGGAGGTCTCCTATGTAAATGGCGCTACATTTTAAATAATATGCATATTTCGATATTGCCTTGGTATATTTTCTTGATCATCCAAATACAACATTGGTTTAACGAATAACTGATTTCGGTAGTTAATTTCAACGTTCTCAACAGAAATTTTTGTTAGGACGTTGTATATTGTTATTCTCGATGATAATGACGTCGAAATTCATGTTCATACCGTACATAACTAATTTAAATGTCTTTGTATTATTGATAATGTGACCAACTTGGTATGGCAACTCGAACTGATGTACGTACGTACAACGTTCTACGTTGTTACTGACTGACTGTATTATTGAGAAAAACATATTTCATACGTCTTTCAAGTTGTCGGTTCAAACAACAAATCTTAATATTTATTTCGATAATTTATTCATCAATTATATTTTATCAAAATTTGGATAAATCATCTTGAGATGTTGGAGAAGATTTGTAATTCAGTTGGATGATTTTGATGGAGTTTTGTTCTCTGAGCTGAATGGTTTGGTCGTGAAGCTTTCATTTTTCTTCTGAACGATCTCATCAGCAAAAACTTCAGTTAGAAGTGAAGTGTTCGAATTTCTCCACATGTGGTTCACAGCTTGTCCTGTACACCTCGATGTTGATTGGTTCTCAGAATAAATATGAAGGAATAGATTTTACCAGTTGGGTTACAAAGACCGTAAAATCAATATTTACTCTAACCTTGATAGGTTTTAACAAAAAGTTTGTTTTACAGAACCTCATAGGTAAGGAGTCTATCGATCTGTTATTTCTTTTGTTTTAAATATTGAAAGAGATGTTTACTTGACAGTTTACACAAATTAAAAGTGTATTTTATCAGTATATATATTGGATAATAAATACTTGATTCATTACAATATAGATGGTAGTGTAGTAGCGATCAATTTGATTTAATATTCGTTACAAAAACTTAATCTGAAAGCTGTATAATTACTTTGATATGATTAATGACGGTAAATCCAATCTAAAACGTTATACAATCCTACATCAATTAAATAAACTAATATGATTTATCTGAACTATTTCAATTACATACAATAATTGAGACTCAATCTATTATACTAATGAATTCAAATTCAAGTTCTGTTTATGATTCCGACTGATATGACCAAACAAATATATATTATAATGAAAAATGAATTGGATTGAATAATACAATTAGTAAACAAATAAATTCGCGTACATTAGTACCTTATATTTATTCAAACTGAAATTACAATAGAAGAATGATTGGACTACTTGTACTAATTAGTTCAACGATCGAATAGCTTATCCAGTCAGAAGTAATCAAACAACAATTTACATTAAATCATATAGTAAGGATATGTACTGGTATTTCGATAGGGAAAAAGGATGAAAGCAATGTTAAAGTTCTCAGTACTGGTTGAATTTGTTGCATAAAATAATGAAATATGGTATTTGCTTCTTGAAATACATCTGTAAAGAGTATCATGCTCATTTGCTTAAATGTTAATTGGCTGTGAAACACCATTTGTCTTCCTTTATACCAATGGCTGAAGATACTTGTGGACGTACGTTCCCTAGGGGAAATATTGGAATCTTGAACAAAAGGGACTACAAAGATAATCACAGAATTTGTTTAGAAGCTTAACAATTAGGGATTAATAAACATATGGAAGTCGGTCCAAATTTCTAACAAATTAGAAAAATTATAAACAAGTACCAGGTCAAGAATCGGGTCAGTTGAGAACACATTCAAAATAAATATTCAGACAATGATAGTAAAAAATATCCACAACAACTACAAAATTAAATGTTGATGAAACAAACTGTTAGTCATATACGGAGAAACTCAAACAGTTCACTTCTATCTGAAGTTTGTGCTGATGATATTGTATAGATAGACAATGAAAGCCTATTGATTAAACAGGACAGCTCAGAGAATATAACTCCACCAAATAAGTTTCATTAGTTCTAATGTTCCTTGTCTCTCAATATGATTTGAACCCATTTTATTCAACTAAACGATGGTTAGGTTATATGCTATATTAAATTCTGTAATCTTATCAGGCTTGATAATTAGTATAAATGTTTGAATCTTCGAAATACTATCAACATGATAACGAGGCTACTATCGAGTTCATGAAATTGATATAATTTGACTAAAACCTACAGTAATATATCCAGTCAGAAAAAATTAAAACCGATCAATGATATCTACCAATTCATCATTAATCAGTGTCACGCTTTACCTATCTTCAGAAAATGATTTTCTATATTCGTAGTTTCCCATCATAGATTGAACTTAGGTAGGTAACAGGTGAAAATCAGGAAGCACTGGACAGATGTTTCATTCTAGTACACTGCTCCACAGCAGTACTCATCCAAGATACCACAAAGAATAGAACTCAAAACTCAGGTCTTGTGGAGAGAACAAGAAAGCACATGATAATTGTTACTAAAGAGGATTTCGAAGGTTGCTGAATTGGTAGATCTGCATCATGGACTGATTTTAGTTTTTTTTTATCGCCTTTATTAGGTGTTTCTAAACCTTTTTTCCGATCAACAGACAATGCTCTTAATAACTTACATCATTCATTTCCGAGGTAGTCGATTATATAATATATTTGGTGTTCCTTCCTCCTCAATCAACATCTTTGTCCATTCTATTGATCAGTGTAACGTATATCGAACAGATTTTGATAATGCATGATTCCAGGCTTTATATAGGTGATACGATCAATAACAGAGAATGACATGAATTGGTCTATTGGATACAAATTAAACAAGTCTTCATCATGCAAAAACCTGACACTGACCTCAAGATTTAGAGAATGGTGGAAATGAGTGCAACTCTACTACTGGTGTTAGATCCAAATCGTACCACCTCCAACCATAACTAATGTTATAAATCCCAACAAAGAATTTCATACCAATTAGCACGACTTGCTCTGAATACCAACTAGCTCACGGTTTAATGTCATATCTTTACTTAATTGCTTATAGCTTTAATTCTAACCTACTCCGATGTAAGCCAATAGTGAAAAGTTGGCAGCTAGGTTTACGTTAAATTTGTCCCAACTATCCTGAAAGATCATTTTTAACTGATCTAGGGCATTTTTTTCTTTGTTTCTGTGATTACATTTCCGGGTATATAAAAATCAAAGCCATTTATACTTCTTCTTAATTTGTTCCGAGGACAAATTAACTTTTGATTTGTACAAAAGGTTAACAATGTCCACGGCTCCAACTTGTTCGTTAACAATCTCCTTCGTTATTGCCCTTTAAATTTGCTCCTGCTATTCACAGATCCTTTCACAATAACCATTTTAATTAACAAATGGTGAATATATTTTAGAACATAACGTATGTGATAGAACAACTGGGTGAGCAATCGTGTGGTAAGACGCAGACTCAGTAAAACAATGCAAATCGAATGATAATTTTCTCGTATATATTCATAGCATATCTTGATCTCATTTACATACATTTAGTATTTTGGTTAGAGTAGAAAAGACATGAAAATAACCCGTAGTCTTGCCAATGAGAATCTCATAAAATGTGGGAATAAATGACCAATGCACAACAGTCCATTTATTTACATAGCTCGACAACATTTCCAAGTACGCACGCTTACGGAAAACTACAAACTGACTGGATTGCCTAACATTCTATCGGATAATTGTCAGACGTTATGGAATGAACGCGGAAAAAGATTAAAATGTCTACATCAACAAAATATCTATTTATATTTAGTAGTAATAATCACATCAACATAATGATATTTCTCTGGACCGCCAACCTCGGGGGCGGGGGGGGGGGTAAACAAACAAACCAATAGACAGGAAATGACTAAAAGTAAATGTAATTTGTACACATGGATTAAAATCAGTCTGAACGAAAAGATAGAGGAAAGAAAAGATAAAAGCAATGTTTAATTATACAAGAAAGATGATGTAAGGAATAATCATCTCTTTATACAAAGTTTTGTGTATGGTAAGCGGGGAAATTTATGTAACTTAAACAATTATTGCTGTAAACTAGTTTTGTCGGTGGTGAACAAACTGATCCACTGTGTGGATACTTGATCATCATCATCATCATCACAGGAAGCAGATGAATAAAAAGCATGGAACATTTTAAACATTTCATATGTAGCACTACTACTTCACAGCAATAGTAATAATTTGACTTATCTAGTATTCTCTTGTAAACTTGATCGTCCACTTGTAGTATTAACTGTTGCTGTGTATGTCAAATCAGTGGAATCAGGAATCCATTTGGAACTGGCAGTTACACGCATTTTTTCCATGGGTAAAATTTCAATATTATGAACACTGTTACCACCACTAGTCTCACCAAAATCAGATCCTAAAGCTTTCGTTCGTGCTTTTAACCGCCATTTAAAATATTCATAAACTGACCAGGATAAAGCAGTGCCGGGAACAGCTGTTAGGATTCGAGCACTTATACCTCTAGTGAATCCTCTTAAACCAGTCATTTGGTATACATACATCGCTGTGCCAAACAAACCTCGGAATTCAGGATTAGACGACTGTGTGAAGTGACCAAGACATATATTCTTTTGAAAACACCGATCCTATGAGTGATTGTAAACAAAAAGCGAAACCAGAAAATAGAAATGAATTGTAAGACTTATGAAATATATTTCATATTGAAATATCAATGAACTCAGATTAATTTTTAACTCAGCTTTGAGCTACCCAATGTGTGTGGAGACTACTGATATACAAATTGGAGTGAGTGGAGAGGTTTCAAAACCAAAAAAATATTATTTAAAAATCAAATGACTTGATTATTAAACCACTGTTCTTATTCACCAGGAGGATGAACATAACCAAAATTTACACTTCTCGAGTGCAAGTAATATCGGGTGAAAATATCAGGTACTAGTGAGAAATGAATAATAAAATTCTAACAAGAGATTCCTTAGAAATTCATATAATGTAATTGGAGAATGAGACTTGACGACTCAATACAATATCATAAATTGTTGGATACTGGTGAATATCGAGAATCCAAATCGATTGTGGAAATCACTAGATCGAAATTCCGGGATCTATGTATTCTATCGTATAAGAACAGAATGCTACTTAAAATTCTCAAGTAGGAATGAAGCTATTGATGAATGGAAATAAATTGTGGGCGATTCTATGGTAGGTGTCAATTTATGAAATAGGGGAATTTTCATTTTTGTTGCCACACAATAATATGATGGCCTATTTGAAATAATGGTCAATCTGTTATAGCTTCCCACAGTTAATGAAAATTTTGGTTTAGATTTTATAAACGTACAATGTTAAGTACCTTAACGTCTGTAGATTACAGTAAGAATTTGTGGCATATAACAGTACTAGTTCAAAATGTACTGTAAGAAATAATTCGTCTTTCCAAACAGAAATATTCATGAATTTACCTGTGTATTCAGTAAAGTTTTACAAACATCTAACGGATTTGTGAAAGCAGCAGCAAAACAACCAGCTATACCTCCGGATACAACGTGAGTCCAAGGTAAATACTGACGATTTGGATTTATTAGACTCTGAGCATGTTCATAACAAACAAAATGAATTGTCTGATAAGGTATATTCATGGATAATTGTGTAAAATAAGCTCTGTACAATACGCCGAGTCCTTCTGTTAAACACACTCGACGGAGACAATCAAAAGTGTTGTGGTAAGGACTATTGTAAATTTGCAGACGTTGTTTCACAGCTGTGTTAATTGTAAAGTGAACAAAAGCAGGAAGACAGAATTTATCAACTACTCAGTAAACATTTATTGTTATACAATTATGATGGTTTCAATATAGTGAATCGAACTAAACCAAGTTAAATAATTTTTCAGAAAATACTGACAAGATATCAGTGATTAACTCTGCAAAAACAATGCATATAATTCAACATGAGAATGAATTAAAATGATAACTGATCTATAATCACGAGTTTGGTTTAGGAGACATAAACTGTAAATCGAACTTCATGACTCGACATTTATGGTCGTTTAGCAAACAACTGATAATCTGATGAAAACAAGACTTCAACTGAGTGATTGTATTACTGTTAAAGGTTCTTTGTTTCAGGATATGACTCCAATTATTATTCATTAAACAAGCAATACTAAGACGATATTGACTAACGATGAGAAATGTATGGAAATATACTAAACTTTCTGTCCCAACTTCATAGATCCTTTGTCAACATATCAAATAACTCAGCTTACTTTAAGCTACAACTAATCTTTCAATAAGAATTAAATCTATTGGTTACCACATGCCTAAAAACTCCAAGGTCAGGCTATTTTATTGCTTGGTTCTTTACTGTTTGCTGTGAGATTGTCACATTGATTTTGTCGTTCTCTATTTTTTTTACTTGGTCACAGTATGTTAATGTGACAACTCTGAACAAGGTGAATTTATTTGTATTTGTCAAATGGTGAAAAATAATAACAGATACTTATTAACGGTGTAATATCACATGAAGTACAGTATTGAAAGAACTACTTTTTAATATATCTTTAAAGTTGGTCTCTTAGAGATAAAGTAATTTCGTGGCTAGTCATTAGAATGTAAAAACACTGAATATAAAGTGCTTTTGATCTTCATAATACATTCATAAAGTACCTTGTGTGACATTGTTTGACACACTTTCAAGACACGGCGAGATAAACATGTAGACGGAGTAAATGCTTTTTTATGGGAAAAATTAGTAAGGTTTTTAACTGTTGGACTGAGTTCTTTTTAGAAAATCTTTCGATATGATTAAGTCTAGTGGTTGGTTACTTTAGTTCGTATGATACATGGATAACCTTAGACGAAAAAAGATACTCCCGACATAGTATTTGCTTACTTACCATCTGCAGGAGTCATGATAGCATCGTGCAGTAAAGTTGCACAAGTCCCAGCTATCATATGATTTACATGGGTCGATCCTATGGGAGCTGTAGCTAAGGTTGACTTCATTTTTTCATAGCATCCAAAATAAGCAGCATGCGCCGGACCAGCACCCCAGATCACTGCACCACTACCTTTTAGCGACCCTGGTACTCCTTCCTGAAGGATTAGACGATACAGACCAGTTAGTAAACCTGGGTAATTAGAGCAACCAACAGGCCTCAGACACTGCATTCGAGTCTTAAACAAAGAGTTAAAAGTTGAATTAACAAAACTTACTTTAACACAGTCGACAGGATACATGACAATATGTTCCATTATACCTGCACATGCACCTGCAAACATGTGTTGTGGCAGTGGACTAGTACTGGGTAAGGACTCATAATCATCGGAATCCTGAAAAGTAGAAGATACACGTATGCTTATTGAACTAAAGGCAGACACCAACGAATTACAAGGAGACAAGCAGCTACCCTTGAGCAAATATGAAGTGGTCATCAGATATGACAATCAAGTGGTACATTAAAACCTTGTTCAGTACAACTCAACTGACCATAAGATTAGAACATATATAGGCCGACCATTATTTAAACTGGATATATCTCAGTCCTTTGTGAGGAGTTGAAGGAACTACAAAGGCTTTTGATAAAATACTCCATACCAACAATAACATGGAAGTAAACGAGTAATACGCTGAAGCAGTATTTTTTCGATCAAACCAAAAAAGTGGTGCAAATATCGAGTGATTATCATTCTCTTACTTTCCTTAATAATAAATACAATGTACACATACGAAACCCCGAAATCGTTCCCAACCGAAATTGAACTGAGGATGTTTGTAATCTACACAATGTGTGGTTCCAATGTTACAGCCCTCTTGTACCAATGTTACAGCTCTCAGGACCGACTCACAATTAAAGTATACAAACTGCATAACCGGACGTTGAAGTTATCCTTCTATAAGCTCATTTTTTCAGAATATATTTGATTTAAAAAATCGAAATAATACACGACTTGGATTATCAAGCTTTTCGTCTGGAAAAACATGAGTAAGGACGGATGAATAAAATAAACCTAGAGAGCACAATCTAACTATTGGCACTCAGGCTGCAAGCCTTTGTTTAAAAGGTGACTCGGATATCCTAGGAAAAGTACAGAGGGCAGCTATCTGTGCAATTCCAGAACTCCGAGGTGTATCATACAAAAAGCGGCTTGAAAAGCTGGACCTCTTTACTCTGTCCTGATCTAATTTTTATGTATAGAATACTAATAAATGATTTTGGACCTAATAAATCGTTTTCCTTCCCAATAGATCGGGACATCTCAGAGGAATTAGCAGGTGAGTAGAAAAGTCAAGAACGAACAAAATACCCGTGGCACACAGGTTTTCACATCAAGTCATCAATTCTTGGGACCTGTTACCCGAAGAAGTGGTGTCTGCATTTTCAATTGACTCGTTCAAAGGAGGAGTAACCATTTACAGTAGCTTACTAGAAAAGAAATAACATAGGCCATGAGCCTTCTGTCCTCACTACATACATCTGAATCTGGAAAAAATATTCAGATTATTACATTTGACATTCAGGAGATAAAGAATCTATTTGAGTCAGAGATTAACAAGAAAAGTATTTGTCCGGCTCTCTCCAATGAGTAAATCAATGCTAGGAACGTTATTGCGGATGATCTGGTAAATCCTATTATTACGTCATATGTTGTGCTGAATAAATCTACAGTTTTAGAGGATTTTCTCTCCTCCCTTCAACTACGTTTCCCTCAGTTTCTCTACTGGAGAAGTCAAAAACCTGAAAATCTGTTGTAATAAGTTACTTGTTGAAATAAGTTGACGAATATTAGAAGTTTAGTCATACACTGTAGTCAAAAAAGCAGAACTCAATGAAATATACCACGCCAAAGACAATTCATGTCTCAACGTAGCCATGAAGCTTACAATGACTTTTCTTAGCTTGGAAGAACGGCTATTGTGACCAAAATGAGTTACTTAATCATGCTTCAATTATCTGTAATGGAAATCTTCTAAAACGTATGACGCTATTAAGATTGCTAGATACCAATTAATGTATAGATCCGAAAACTTTTCGGAGCCGTGTATTTATGTATAAAAGCACCCAGGATGTCCACAAACATCCAAAACCACTCATTTACAGCAAATTACCTCATCCACCATGACCGTAACAAAACATGCGGATGTAGCGGAGGAATCGAATTTCGCTCATCCGACCTGACAGATAATCCAGTTTTCGTTTATAAGGTCAGATAACCAGGACATAATTAATAAAAACAGAGACTATTGTTTTTCTCCACTCTTCTTTCGATTACATCTGTGAAGTGACTGATTGTCATGTAGTGACCTACTTTTATCAAGAGAACACGATTGGTTTAAGGAAAACAATTATTATTATAACCAATTGTACTAGTGATTGTTTTACTGTGCTCGTTTGTTTAACTGTGCTAGTGACAAACATTGTGCTTCCATTATTCTCCATGGCCGTTTCGCGGTTCGTGACCCCGTTCGCACGTACTTTCTCCTGCCGATTCCGCTTGTACCTTTTCTTGGCACGATCTCAGTATTCATTCGATACCACGAGATCGTCAACGAATGAATCTGGTTACATTCAATCTTCGCCTTATGATTTATTTGGCACGTGTCTCTTTGTAGTGGTGTTCATAGTCAACTGGGACTCGACGCCACGCTAGTCATATTTCAAAGAAGGCAGTTCCCATGGGAACGGCAATCACTCAAATTCCTGATAGTCCTCAGTCTTCATTTATCAGGATAGTAGGCCATTTGATCTGTGCTAATTCTTGCAGCTTGCTTTGCACTACTTGAGATGCAGCTTCTTCCATAAAGTGTTCATTGATGGAATTGATACTACTTGTTCGGATGGAGCATCTCAATCATTAACCACTTAATGAGAAAAAGAGAATCCCACTCTGAGTATTTTGGTCGGGGTTTTTGTATCTTCTTGTGATGACCTAGAAGATGATCAGTTCTGGTGGCAACGAAAATATATGACATTCCTACACCCGAGTTATAATTTAAGATACGGAATGCCAATACAAGGTCACTTCGAGTTCTGCGATAAGGGGAAATGTTTAAGCTTTCTAAGCGCTCATGAGAGCTCGAAAAGACACGTTACCAACCTTACTCTCACACGTTGGAAATTCATTCCTAACAAGACAAAGGCTACCTGTTTGAATGGAATTCTCTAGGTTGGATCTCACATAGGTGGGTTGTAAAACCTGAAACAACCTCGATGAAGTCACCATAACACTCTAAAACCATTGGCAGCTGCTCCATTGCGATGAGCAGTAGCTATGAAATAATGACTTACATTTACTCCTAAGAGTTTTTATTCCAGCACCCTTGGGAGCGATGTACCCTTAATAACATACTGGTAACCAGTGCCTTGTCCAAAGTGCACTAGCACAATTTCTGGGATTAATTTCCAAATTCCAACATCGAGACTACCCAACCTACTAGTCCAGATCAACATGGTAATCATGATGAGCAGCGTTACTGTTTGTGGTTTCCAGGTTCTGATATCTGTCTGCAAGCAACAATCAGTCTTAGTAATTCATTTACGCAGAAAAGAAACGAAATAGAGGATGTAAGAGGGTTCTTTGGAGTACATCACTTTTAACCGGTTTCCATCCAGGTAGTATCCTACTTACCTTCACCTTTTAGCTCCGGCCGAAGGAGGATTTTCTTATTTACTGTTGTATGACACCTGTTACTCCAAAGCTCCAGAACTCCTGCATATGCCTTAAGTGATACACCTTATGAGATGCCTCGCCAAATTCCATGATTATCATATGGGCATATCAGTCTCCATCTTAGACTATTGTTCAATACTTTCTCACAGTTAGATAGTTGAGCATCGACGCGTATTCCAAAACTCAATCGGTCCGGTGTTGACGGATTGTGTGATTCTACATCACCTAGTAACTTAGGCTTAATTCCTTTCTCAAATACCCTGATTACTATGCTAATTTGACTGATAGTTCAGTAGCGAGGAACGACCTGTATATTTCTATACCTAAATATGGGGCCAACTGTGGCTTTTTTCCAATCCCTAGGGTGCTAATTTCAGAGACGTGACATGCTAAATAGCACCGTGAGTGGTTCCGAAATGAAGTCCGGGTGATATGAAGGCAACCGCGGTCGTAACCTATCAAGACCCGGTGACTTACTTAAGGTTAACATGCACTTGAAGAATGGCTTCCTCAGCCACCTGAACAGGTCCTATAGCTGGCATCACAATGGTGTGGCTGTCGGAAGTGCTGATTACTATACCCCTAGCATACACCTCACTGAAACAGCTTAATAAAACCTCAAGTTTTGCCATATCTAAGCCCTATAGTATATCTCAATTCCTGAGCAACGGTAATGAGAGAATCCCATCACTACGATTTCTTCTTTGCTTAATGCACGAAAACAATCGTTTTGACAAAGAATGTCTATCACGTGCCAACCGTCTTTCGTAAGTAATGTGACATATGGATATCGTCTTTTTGCATGCACGACGGAGTGTTCGAGACTCACAGATCTTTGAAAAGCATGAAATAGCATTAATTCATTCACAGTTAAACCAACAATCACCGCTGTTGTTCTAATTCATTTTCTATCATTTATAATTGTTTAAGTACATGTTTATCTTTCGTTTCTAGATCCTCTGGTACTGTCAAATACAAATTCCTTATTTTCATATGCCTACTTAATACTAACGAGCGGTAACTCGGTGGTTTGAGGACATTAAGGTCTTGAGAAGATATTTTGAACTAGAACGTCACTGGAGGTAGATCCTTTATTAGTTACCTCCACATATTCATAAGATTAGAGGATCGAAGAGTTCAGCTGTGGTAACAAGATAAATTTCGAATTTCAACTCGCATCTTCGTTATGACTAAAAGTTGTTTTACACTTATTCTCCCAATTGGCCAACATTTTAATAAATTTGGGGGTTTCTTTTTACAACTATCACTTGTTTTAATAGGTCTTTATTTCTGAAAAGTTAATTAATTTAAGTGTAATACAAGATATTACATCTCAATTACAAACTCGATGGCGAAGGATAATATTTAATTTTATTAAGCTATATGCTTCTTTTCCGATGTATGTGAGGAAATGTGCCACAATATTAACACCCTCAGCATCTTCCTTCGTCTTAGCCCAGATTTCGAACCTTTCCAACTAATCATCAAAAGCTTCAAAAGTTGAATGAATATCTAACTTTTCCATCGCAGGCTCCATCGCGACGCCAATATAGTGTTTCGAATCATTTGAATTTTAGTACGAACTTAGAATCCCCGAAATAACGCAGTTGAATCAAGAAGTGCTAGATGAGCACAAACGAATGTATTGTATTCAGAATTCGAAATCAAGCATTCAACAAGTACAAAGGAATCACTAGTTAATTCAAACACCACAGTCACATATACGTGGAGAAAATAAAATTAATCTGAAAAGCTGATATGTTTAAATGCAATAGAAGACAATGTGATTTTAAGTATAAACTATGGATGTTTAATGACCAAATTCGTGTAGAAGGAAATTGAGAAAAAAAGAAAGAGCGAAAAGAAAGTCTCGTGTATCAGTGGATTGATTATGATAGTAATAAGTGTTCTTTGTACTGATGATGCCAGTATTACGATTAGCTAATGAATGTTGTATCCTTAAAGATATCGAAGTGACGCTGCACAAAAAAAGTAAGTGACATTACCACCTAACGATTCTCCCTTTTGCGTAGCTGTGATGTACAACTAGCTGACTTACTATATGGCTTTAGACCATCCGCAATAATTGACCAGTGAAACACAGAGAACAATTACTGATACTAACTTTGACAAGTTGCTAACGAACATATTGTAAGATCCATTTTGAAGGTTTTGTGTGTTGGTGAAAATCCCTCCATGTATATACTTGTACTTTGTTCCTATTGATCCCCTTAGTTGTACATTGTTGTATTTTGATTACATTTGAATTGTTAATACTTGTATTTTTTATCATAGTTTTTGTTTTTCTTACGCATTCACTAAGTTTGTGTTTCTTCCTGAACTGCATCTGTGTTGTTTTACTTGACACTTGTTCTTGGCGGTAGCCATATTGATTTGCCCCTCCTTTCGTGTGTGTGTTCTATCCAGTCAGGATAGGATAACGTTCATTTGTTGCGACTGGTAATTTTCCCTCATCTTCTATCAACTTCTTTATTTATTATAATTTAGATTTGATTGATTGAACAATTATTGGTTGAATAGCTGGGTGGTAATATTTGTTTAGGTAACGATTTACATTTAAATTTATGATGAATTATAGAACCGCTATTTACCCGATTACTTGTTTTGATTTCGACGGGAAAAAGCGCGTGTCTAAAGTCCCCGGTCGGCTATTCTTCAACATCCAAACCGTAGTTTGGATCCTACACATATTTTTCACTATTTTGCACCAATCGCTTACGTTTAAGATCGTGGGAGGTAATTTTATTCTGAAAAATGTAATATTGAATCTGACTTCGGTATCAGGTTGATATAACAAGTTAGTTGAAACACCAGAACTTTGTGGATGGGTCAAACATGTCTGGAATCCGACTGGAAGGAATTATTTACTCTATTTATTATTTGCAATCAACACCATCCCTATCTCAGTGCACGTCAGTCGTGAAATTTTATGAGTGGTCATAGAGTATTATTCATTTTCTAAACATCACACTATTGAACTCGAACGCTGCAACAATGTCCCGGAGAAGGCAGTCTTATCAACAAACCTGGAAGCTCAAGGAAAATCTCATCCGATGCTCATTATGAGAATCTTATTTCACCACAAAAAGATTGTCACCGCATTTTTCGAATCGTATCACAATCTGACGTATTATCTTGACTGCATTGCTCCAATTATCGACCATGTGATTTGCAATGCTTATAGGGACTAAAAAACCTTGAAGAATTTTAAGAGAAAACTGTAAAACTACTAACACATGCATTATGACGTATATGCGCTTCAGAGCATACCTCTTTGACGTAAATGACTCACCTCAGCACAAGTATGTTACGACTATGGAAAATAAAGCCTTAGATAAAAAAACCCAATGATATCAATAATTTGGCCTTTTAAATCTCGCGTGAAATCAGATTCTCTCAATACAACCAGATTCCTCGTAGTTAATGGAAGCATTGTTGACGACCCTGATACCATTTATGAACAATGCAGCCAACAT